TGTTGGTAGTTGATTGTACTTTTTGCCTTTAGTTAGTATTTGGTTCATCTGCTTTCTTTGCTTGATTTTATTTTCTCTGGTGACATCTGTTTAGTCTTAGGATTGCTCTCGTCTTGAAAAGTCCCTCTAAAATTCCCTGTAGAGGTGGTTGGTGGGAAGCAAATTCCCTCAACTTTTCCTTGTCTGGGAATTGTTTAATCCCTCCTTCATATTTAAATGATAATCTTGCTGGATACAGTATTCTTGCTTCAAGGCTCTTCTGTTACATTGCATTAAATATATCTTGCCATTCTCTTCTGGCCTGTAAGGTTTCTGTTGAGAAGTCTGATGATAGCCTGATGGATTTTCCTTTGTAGGTGACCTTTTTCTTCTCTCTAGCTTCCTTTAAAACTCTTTCCTTTCCCTTGATCTTTGCCATTGTAATTATTATGTGTCTTTGTGTTATCCTGCTTGAGTCTTTTCTGTTGGGAGTTCTCTGCACTTCTGTGGTCTGATCAATTATTTCCTCCCCCAGTTTGGGGAAGTTTTCAGCAATTATTTCTTCAAGGCACTTTCTATCCCTTTTTCTCTCTTCTTCTTCTTCTTCTGGTACCCCTATAATGTGGATATTTTTCCTTTTGGATTGGTCACACAGTTCTCTTAATATTGTCTCATTCCTGGAGATCCTTTTATCTCTCTCTGTGTCAGCTTGTATGCGTTCCTGTTCTCTGGTTTCTATTCCATCAATGGCCTCTTGCATTTTATCCATTCTGCTTATAAATGCTTCCACAGATTGTTTCACTTCTGTAATCTCCCTCCAAATGCCATACTTTAGCTCTTGTATATTTCTCTGCATCTACGTCAGCATGTTTATGATTTTTATTTTGAATTCTTTTTCAGAAAGACTGGTTAGGTCTATCTCCTCAGGGGTTGACTCTGTGATCTTTGTCTGCCTCAAATTTTGCCTTTTCATGGCGATAGAGATAGTTTGCTGAGCTGGCATGAGTAACGGCTGGGAAGACGTCCCTTCTTGTTGGTTTGTGGCCTTCCTCTCCTTGGAGAACAGCGACCTCTAGTGGCTTGTGCTAGGCAGCTGCACGCAGACAGGGCTTCTGATTCTTGCCCAGCTGCTAAAGAGTTTATCTTTGTTGTTGCTGTGGGCGTAGCCTGCCTCCGGCTGTTGCTCCATTATGGGCGATCCACATTGGTGGTGAAACGACCGGGAGGCTGTTTATCTCCATGAGGGGCCTTTGAGCTGCCCTGCTATCCAGGGTATTAGGGTTCCCGGAGTTCACTGGGATTCCCTGCTGCCTGGCTAAGTGTCCCGGGATGCTTCCGCCCAGCTGTGGGGTCTCTGTCCTTTTAAGACTTTCAAAAAGCACTCGCTTTTCTTTGTTCCCGGGTTGGCGGCTGCAGGGACCCATTCACAGGTCTTACTGTCCTGTTTCCCTAGTATCCTGCACCTCACACATGCACTGTGTCTGCACTCTGTTGCGGATGGCTGGGGTTGGGTGTTTAGCGGTCCTGGGCTCCCTCTCCCTCCCTGCTCCAATTCCTCTCATCCTACCAGGAGCTGGTTTGAGGGGCGCTCAGGTCCCGCTGGGTCAGCGCTTGTATCTTACCCCCTTTGTGAGGCACTGGGTTCTTGCAGCTGTGGATGTAGTCTGGCTATTGTCCTGTGTCTTCTGGTCTCTCTTTTAGGAGGAGTTGTCTTTGTTGTATTTTCGAAAATATATGTGATTTTGGGAGGAGATTTCCGCTGCTCTACTCATGCTGCAATCTTGGCTCCGCCCTCCTCCCTAGGTACTTTATTCTTTTTGATGCAATTGTGAATGGAATTGTTTTCCTGATTTCCCTTTTGGCTAGTTCATCATAATTATATAGGAATGCAACAGATTTCTGTGTATTAATTTTGTATCCTGCAACTTTGCTGAATTCAGATATTAGATCTAGTAGTTTTGGAGTTGATTCTTTAGGGTTTGTTATGTACAATATCATGTCATCTGCATACAGGGACAGTTTAATTTCCTCCTTACCAAGCTGGATGCCTTTTATTTCTTTGTGTTGTCTGATTGCCATGGCTAGGACCTCCAGTACTATGTGGAATAACAGTGGGGAGAGTGGACATCCCTGTCTTGTTCCTGATCTTAATGGAAAAGCTTTCAGCTTCTCCCTGTTAAGTATGAGGTTGGCTGTGGGTTTGTCGTATATGGCCTTTATTATGTTAAGGTATTTGCCCTCTCTACCTATTTTGTTGAGAGTTTTTATCATGAATGGATGTTGAATTTTGTCAAAGGCTTTTTCAGCATCTATGTAGATGATCTTGTGGTTTTTGTCCTTTTTTGTTGATGTGGTGGATGGTGTTGATGGATTTTCAAATGTCGTACCATCCTTGCATCCCTGGGATGAACCCCACTTGGTCATGATCTTTTTGATGTAGTTTTGAATTTGGTTTGCTAATATTTTGTTGAGTATTTTTGCATCTATGTTCATCAGGGATATTGGTCTGTAATTTTCTTTTTTTGATGTCTTTGCCTGGTTTTAGTATTAGAGTGATGTTGGCCTCATTGAATGAGTTTGAGAGTATTCCCTCCTCTTTTACTTTTTGTAAAACTTTATGGACAATGACTGTAATGGGGTATGTGGTGGGAACTTGATAGTAGGGGTTGTCTAGTTACCATAATGTTGTTCATATAATGTACATTAATGATAGAAAAATAATAATAATAATAATAAAACTAACAATTGAAAAATAAACCTTATCTTCTAAAGTTTCTGAGGGCATAAAACATATATAGAAAACTTTACCACTTAGTGAGAACATGGGAAGAGGAAAAAGGAATTAAAGAGCATATTAAACAGAAAACCCAAAATAAGAGTAGATGTAAGAAAACTTCTAATAAATTTTAATGGAGTATATTCACCCATTAAAAGATAGAGATTATTGTATTGACTGAAAAAATAAGTTTTGGTATATGCTGTATACAAACCAACAAAATTACTAGAAAATGGTCCAGAAAGTTTGAAAATAAAGTTATGGAAATAAATATACTCAGCAAGTACTAACCAAAGAATGCTGATATAGGGATGAAGAGGAATACTATATGGAAATTAAAGGATTCAAGGAGATAGAACAATTATAAACTTCTATATATATTACAACAGAGCTTCAAAATACTATATATAGCCAAAACTAACAGAATATTAAGGATAAAATGACAAAATCACAATAAAGATAGAATATTTTAACTCTCTTCAAGAACATTTAAACAAGTAATTAACAAGAATGCTCTTTCAAAGGACTGACATTATACTAGAGTGACTTACCATTCTGCTTTGCCAGGGACCAAAGGGTTCTTTGGGATAAGGTATTTTCAGTGCTACCCTGAGGACTTCCTCACACAGAGAAAGACAGAGTGCTGTTGTCTCCTCTCTCATAAAGACACTAGTCCTGTGGAATTAGAGCCTAACATTTATGACCTTGTTTAACTTAATTACATCTCCAATTGGCCTTTCCCAAATATAGTCAAATCAGGCTCTAGGTTTTCAAATTATAAATTTTGAGAGGGTCACAATTCAATCCATGACATACCATATGTAGCCTTTTCAAACTGGTTTATTTCACATTGCAATGTGCACTTTTCTCATCTTTTTTCATGGTTTAGTAGTTCATTTCTTTTTATTGATGAATAATATTCCATCATTTGGATATATAAGAGCTTGTTTTCCCATTCCCCGACTGAAGGATATCTTGGTTGCTTCCAATTTTTGGTGATTATGAATAAAGTTGCTACAAACATTCATGGGCAGGTTTTTGTGTGGACATATGTTTTCAACTCATTTAGTTAAAGAGTTAGGAGCTTGGTTACTGGATCTTATGGAGCATCTGTTTATTTTTGTAAGAAATTGCTGCACTGTCTCCCATTTCACATTCCCACCAGCATTGACTGAGACATCCTGTTGCTCCACATTTCCACCAGTATTTGGTATTTTCTGTGTTTTAGGTTTCAGCTATTTTAACAGGTGTGTAGTGACTATTTTAGTTTGTCATAGTTAATGACATATGATGTTGAGCATCTTTTGACATGCTTATTTTGCTATCTGTATATCCTTTGGTGAGGTGTCTGCCCAAATTGCTTGCACATATTTTAATTGGTTGTTTTCCTATTACTGAGTTTTAAGAGTTCTCTGTTTATTTTTGACACCTGTTCTTTACCAGATATGTGCTTTGCAAATATTTTCTCTCAGTCTGTGACATATATTTTCATTTTCTGAACAGTGTCCTTCACAGAGCAGAAGCGTTAAATTTTATAAAATACAACACAAATTTTTTTCTTTTCTTGATAATTCTTTTGGTGTTGTACCTAAAACTCATCACCAAGCCCAAGACTACCTAGGTTTGCTCTTATTAATCTTTAGAAGTTTTATAGTTTTGCATTTACATCTAAAATCCATTTTGAGTTCATTTTTGTAGAGGGTGTAAGATCAGTCTCTAGATTATTATTATTTTGCATGTGGATATCCAGTAGTTCCAGCACCGCTGGTTGAAAAGACTCCTTTCTCCACTGAATTGCCTGTGTTCCTTTGTTGAGTATATTTATATGGTTCTATTTCTGGGCTCTCTATTCTGCTCTGTTGAGCTGTCTATTATTTCACAAGTAGCTCACTGTCCTAGTGTAGTTTCATAGTAAGTTGTGGAGTCAGGTTGTTGTGTGGAGTCAGTGTTTTCTTTGAGTGAAATGAGAGAACAAAAAACACAGACAACACAGACAGACAGACAATGGCTGCAGCCCCAATGTGGCGCAGCACCTTTATTTTTATACTGCCTTTCTCGGACCTCAGCCAAGTGCTATACTCATCTTTCTCTTCTCAGGGGGGACAGGCCAGAGCACTTTGTCTATTTTCTTAAAGTCTACCCAGTAAGCAGGGGCGGTGTTTTTACACATCCTCAAGGTCTCCCTGTTTTCAGAGTGAGGCTTCCTGGCTTGTTTTCAAAGACAAGATATGCTTCAGTGGGCAGATAATCTCCAAGGACTGTACCAGTTGTTCTCAAGCTGGTGCTTCCCGTGCTGCATTCAGACACAGGGGAAGGTGCTTTCCCATTCTGCCTTCAGATATTTGAGAGGACAAAGGCCGTCCCCATCACAGGTAGTGTCAGTCCACGGATTTTATTCCTCTTTAGTGTTGTTGTGTTGGCTATTACGGGTCTTTTGCCTTCCCATATAAACTTTTGAATCAGTCTGTTGATATCCACAAAACAATTTCCTGGGATTTTACTGAGAATATGTGGAATCTATAAATTAAATTGGGAAGAACTGAAATCTTGACAATATTGAGTCTTCCTGCACATGATCAAGGAATACCTCTCTATTTATTTAGATATTATTTGATTTCTTTCACTAGGATTTTCTAGTTTTCTCATATAGATCATATACATATTTTGATAGCATTATATCTAAGTATGTCTTTAAAGTTTTTTGGTGTTAATATAAATGATGTTCTTTTAACTTCAAATTCCAATTGTTTATTGTTGGCATATAGGAAAAAAATAGACTTTTCATTCTTCACCTTGAATCCTGCAACCATGTAATTGCTTATTAGTTCCAGCAATTTTTTTATTTTTGGTGTTTCTTTGGTATTTTCTATATTGATATTTGTGCCATCTGTGAACAAAGACTGTTTTATTTCTTCCTTTCCAATGTGTATACTCTTTTCTTTTCTTGTCTTATTACATTAGCTAGGTCATCCAATATGATGCTGAATGGAAGAAAGAGGTAAGAAGAATCATCCTTGTCTTGTTCCTGATTTGGGGTGAAAAGCATCTAGTTTCTCAACATTAAGTATGATTTTAGCTATGGGTTTGTTGTAGATGCTCTTTATCAGGTTAAAGAGGTTCCTCCATATTTCTGGTTTCCTGGGAGTTTTTATCATGAATGCTGTTAAATTTGCTAGGCATCTCTTCAGTATTTATTGATATGACATGATGTTTTTTCTTTAACCTATTGATATGATATATTGCATTACTTGATTTTTTAATGTTGAACCAGCCTCAAATACCTGGAATAAATCCTATTTGGTAATGGTGAAATACACTGATATATGCAACTTTGAAATGTATTTAAAAAAAATAAAATGGATAGTGATGTATTTGAAAAATTTCATAATAGAATGTTGGATAGAATAATAAATCTGTATTTGCAAGGACTATAGAACTACAGACAAATTTTAAAATGAAAGTGATTTGACTTGTGGTGTTTTTGTTAGGGTGTATAATTATTTTCTCTCTTCAATTCAGAACATTCTGAATGTTGCTGGAAAGTTTTTTAAAACATCAGTTTTAAAACAAAATCCCCACTGAGTTTTTAAAAGCTCCTTATAACTTCCTAAAAACATGTTTCTGTTTTGAAAACCACTTTGGTTTTCAGCCTAAAGGTCAAAATTCCATCCAATATAATTGTTTTTCACTAACAACAGAAATACTCCTTCTCTGAACCCTGTTGTGCTTTTTCCCTTAATGACCTTTTTAAACGTCTAATTAAACACATAATTCAATTTTTTCTAATTTTCTAATATTAGCAGAGCATACTAGGCCTTACGGGCAGAAGTGAAGGAGTTAAACTTGTAGTAAAAAAATTGTCTGCCAGTTACTCACCACATGTCTATTTATCACCACTTGGATTTAGGAAATGACTTCTCTGATCTTGAAGTTTCATAAACAAAGTCAGAGTTCTGTGTTTGGGTTGATCTTTTAGTACAACTCTGAGAAACATTTTTTAAGAGAAAAGAGGACTAAATCACCCAAAAAAAGATGTTTTCATTGACAGTTTAAATTCAAACATTTAAATCCAGAAATATCAAAAAATAGCTTATTGTTGCCTATCTTTTCAGATGTTTTTGCAACCTTATTGAGAGAAAAGATTTGACATTTCAAGTGAGTAAGTTTAATTATCGACATTCAAGTTATATTTTAGAAACATAACAATAAAATAGATAACTTCCTTGTTTCGCAGTGTAGAAATCCCAGCATTTCAAATATCTTCTTATGAGCAATATCAGCAGAAAAGGGACAAGAGGAAAGCAGAGTTGACTTTATGGAAAAGTTGAACATAGATGCAAAACAACTTCAGGGCAAAGGTTTTTTAGGAAAGGGGGGTTTATAATGGTTCTCCAGAGAAATAGAACCAATAGGATGTGTGTGTGTGTATATATATATATATTTATGATTGTGGAGGCTTTCTTCAGGGTAGGCTGACAGGTTAGAGACCCAGGCAAGAGTTGCAGTTTGAATCCTGCTGACAAAATTCCCTCTTCTGCCCGAGATCAACCTTTCACTGACTGGATGAGGTCCACCCACGTTATGGAGAGTAATCTGCTTTACTCAAAGTGTACTCATTTAGTGTTAATCTCATTTTAAAAAATACATTTTAAAAAACACAGAAATATGTAGATTAATTTTTTACCAAATACCTGAGTACCATAGCCTAGTCAAGTTGACACATAAAATTAGCCATCACAAAAGAATTTTGAGGTGAAGAGAAAAAAGTCAGAAAATACTCATGTCAGATGATTTCTCTCTCTCAGAGAAAAAGGAGATATTTGTTGGAAAGGAGGACTGGAGATTGGTGGCAGCTAAACTCATATCTTGGGTATAAGGATGGGGTTTGAGTATGTAGAAAGTATAAGGAATAGCACTCAGAATACCCTTTGTATTTTAAGAAATGTTGAACCTAAGTCAGGTTTCTTCCTTTTCTTTCTTTCTTTCTAGCATAATATCTAAAAAAGGAGGGACTGTGGAATTATACCAACTGGAATTTGGATCCCAGAAACCAACTCACTAACCCACTATGTGACATTAGGAAAATTATTAGTAAACTCTCATAGTCTGTGTTGTAAAGAGTAAATAAAATTACCTGCATAAAAGTGGCCAGAACAGTGAGTGGTACTTAACTGGGGAATGATTTTGCCCCTTCAAGTATGTCCAGAGATGAGCCCTTGGTCTTGTTGTGAGAAAGAATTCAAGAATGGATGCAGAAAAGCTGTTGAGTATTAAGAGTTTATTTGGAAAATAAAGTTCAGAAAAAGACAAGAGTACATGCCCGAGGGTTGGGGCACCGGCATACACAGTGTGGGTTGTGCAGAGAACAATAGCGAGCCTTTTTTATATGAAGGAAGATGAATAGTCCCTAAGTGAGATTAGGTTTTAAAGGAAACAGATGGAATCTTCCTGAAATTCAGGCTTTCTCCACCTTCACATTGGGCAGAGGAATTTTTTTTGAGCACCCATCATTACACCAGGCCACAGCTCAGGACATTTACATACATTTTCACATTTATGCCTCATGACCACTCAGGTCATGGCAAGGTTTACCATGCCAACTTTTCAAGTGGGAAACAAGGACTCTGAGAAGTTGAGTGGTTTGCATCATTAGTAGGTGGCAGTGCTCATCTCCAGATCTTAGTCTTCCAACCCAAATACATCTCCACTGGGTGCACTGCTGTCACAGGCCCAAGGCAGATTCCGTGCCACATGCAGGAGGAGGAGGAGGAATCATTTTCAGCCTCCCTGATTGGATACATAATTGAAAGTGTGTATCATTTAACTCTGGAACATTTGACTCTGATAAAGATCTTTATTAAAGGCTTGCTGATGTCCTCTAGTTATTTATTATCGCTTCCCGCCACCTAGGGCGACAGCAGGATAACGATCACCGAAGGCCTGGTTCGTTAGGAATCTTTATTATGGGCGTCCGAGCATCCATCTAGCGAAAGGCAAAGCAAAAAACAACCACCACCCCCACTTCCTCCAGGGCAGCAGCTTATATAGCATATCCCAACCAATCAGCTGACTGATCACATGCCAGTCTTATTGGAAACATGTGAAAAGCATGCTATGAGCACGAGCACCGAAATGGGGACAAGCTAATCATGGAGACTTCCTTATGCTCTGAGCTGTAGGGCCAGGAAGGGTGGTGTCTGACCCGACCTGCAGGACTATCAACGGGGGTCGACAACCTGGAGGAGAGAATTGAAAAATAAAAAAAGAATGGGGCAAGGGACACAAAGAACGACCAGCAAGACAGGATGTCTGATCAAGCTGGCACAGTTTATTGTTTGCAGGCTCAATTTATACAGGTAGCAAGTAAGGGGTGGGTCAGGAGATAATTGGACCTTAGGTGGCACCAGCGGGGAGGTGTAGAAGGGTGATTGGGTCTTGGTTGGCGCCAGCGGGAACGGAGGACCCGGAAGAGAAGCGGCGAGTTCGCCATTTTGGGGGTGGGGGCCCTTGGGAGGGAGGTTTTAAGGGAGGGGCTTTCCCCTGGGGCAGAGGGTGTTTCTTGCTTAACAAAGGACAGAAAAGGCACATGCTGCAAGGTAGCCTAACCACTAGCTCTAACTTAGAAATGCATATGTTGCTAGGTAACCTAACCCCTAGCTCTAACCTAGGAGTTCACTAAATGCACTTCTTGGTAATAGAGGAAAACTTGTTTCTGACGCGTGGATGGGTTCATTGTTGCTGACTTTACAGGAAAGATTTTTAGCTGACTTTACAGGAAAGATTTTTACTCAAACGTTGCTGTTGTCTTAAGGCTTTTGTGACCGAGTCTGCCTAAAGGCCCACAGATTTGCTCCCAACAGGTGTCTAGGAAGCAGGCGCCATCTTTAGGGCGTTGTCCAGCTAGAGTGGGGCTCAGCCTCGGCCGTAGGCTGGGCCCCCACAATTTATCACTGTTTCCAGACCAAAAACTATGTAATAATAATGGACAAAACGCTATCATGGGCTTCCAAGTTTGGAGCATAAATAATTCTGCCCCATCAGCCTCAATTTAAGTTCCTATAAATCTAGCTTTACAAGAGTCTCCGTCCTCCAGCAACGTGCTGTGAGATCCCATCTGTGGGAGGGCCCCTGGGGGCCGGTGCTCCGTCCTGGCCGCACTCCTTGGCGTTCAGGCCTTCCTCGGGCTTTTTATTAGCACTTGTGACGGTTCTATGTTAAGCCTCAATGATTTCTGTGGAGAATCCAGTTTTTCCCGATGACCTCTCTACTTTCTCTAAACTACAGATGAAAGGGGCAGAGAATCTCTGAATTCTGGCCAATTTTTGGAAACATTTTTGTTTTTCCCAGTAACATTCATCACACATCCTAAATT